CACACTTCCCTGCTCACAAGCCTTCTGGTGCCCTGATTTCCTACAGAAGTTCCCTGCCCCAGCCTGTGTGACCAGTCCTTTCCCTCTTATCCTTATGCTTTCCCCTCCCACTGCTGCCTACCTAACTCCTTAGCACTGGCCTCCATCTCTTCACCCAGTGTGAAGTCCCTGTAACTCTTCCGTGATGCTCCCAGCTGTCTAGTTCTCAGGACGAATGAGGCGGAATGGCTGAGTCACTGTAATGCCCAGGCACAGAGGCAAGACCAGTGGGGTCGCTGGTTGCTGAGAGGGGCCTCTGCTTGTGTGTGGCTGGACTTACTATGTTTCAAAAGCAGCTTAAGTTTCACAAGGCCAGTTGAGATTCCCAACAGCTTATTCCCACATGTATTCCTACTATTTCTTCTCTCTCTCACTCGAAGGGGCCTAACTAAGGGTTTCTTGTTTTTTTATATCCAGGACATCCATCAAGCCCTCTTCTCCCTGCCAAAGAGCCTGACCCAAGCTCTCTTCTTCTGGGAACTCTTTCTGGCTACTGTTCGATTCCCACTACTCCTCACTGAGTGCCAGGAACTTAGCATATTCTATCTCTAATCCTTCGTTCTCTGGTCAGGAATCTCAGATACATTAAATGGTTTGCCCAGGGATCCAAACCGGGAATTTTCTTTCACTGGAACTTGTCTTCTTTCCACCAGGGCACACTCTCCTTCCTTCGTGGGTCCCAGAATCCTCTTTCCACTCACAGATTTTCATTATTTCCTGAAATGCTCCCTTTAGCACAGAAACTACCTATGCTACAGCTATGTGGCTAGATCATTGTTCCATATGTCTTGTCTTTATAATAAAACTCTAAATTTCCATTCCTGTTTTTCTGTCATAACCCACTGCATAGTATCATGCTCAAAATAGGTGCAAGAAAAAAAAGGCTGGACATGTTTATTCATCAACACGCCCCTAGCTTTGTACTTGGCATATGGTAGGTGTTTAGAGTAAGAATTCTAGTGTAGACAAGGCTTAGGCTAGTTCCCTCAACCCCCACCCTGCCATACCTCACACCTGGGTGGGTGTTCCAACAAATGGTGGTATCACAATGAAAGTCATCAACGTGGTTTAGTGGAAAGATACGGGATTGGAACCAGATGACATTTGTGTAAATTCCAATTCTGTTACATGCTGTGCAATCTTGGGCAAGGTATCTAACTTCACAGAGCCTGTTTTTGTCAGATGTAAAATGAGGGTTATGTTATGTGCCTCCCAGGATTATTCTGAGGATTCAAAGGCAATACAGATAGTGAAAAGAGTGCTCACCCAGGTGCTATTGGTTCACACAATGCTTTTATCTCTTGGGGGGGGGCATGGGACCAGCTCTGAGGGCAGCTAAACTGGCTTGTTAACATTCTTACCTGCCTGTCCCATCTGCAACTTCTTTTTACCTCAATGACTTTTGGTGGTTAAAATAGACCTGTCAGAAAACTAATTTCATTTTTAAATACTGCTGGGCAACAGTGCTTAAAAACTATCACTTTTAGTCTTTGTCAATTTGCTTGTAAACCAGTGTTATTGGTTCTGCTTTTCCATTAAAGATGTGGGGAGGGGGTTAGCCCCAGGCACAATGCATTAATGTAATTTCCATATTCCTTACAGCACAGGACTCATCCCCATTTTTACGTGAAATGAGGGCCACTTGGCAATTGTTTTGGCTATAATTATGACAGAATTGGCTTGGAGCCAGGTGTATAACTAGGGGTTTTGGGGAGGTCAGACAGGCCTGGGTTTGAATTCTGGCTTCCCTCTTACTGGCTTGCACAAAATATCAAATCTCTCTGAGTTCCCTTTTTGCTGAAGGTAAAAGGGTGATAACTTCTTACTAGGACTGTAAGCATGTATAGTGCCTGCACACAGAAAAGACAATAAATGCTAGTGCTCTTTTTAGAAACAATTTCTTAAACCTCACAGACTTTTCTGGAAACTGAAATAATTACGCGGCATACTGGAGTGTCACATGAGTCCACTTTGCATTTGAACCACTAGTAGATTAAGCTGAACTTGCATCGAAAAGCCTTCTGGTAATTAACCTGGGGTTGGGTGATTTTAAGCCAGTTTTCATTCTGCTGCAGAAACAAAAAAGAGGAGACTGGAGAAATGCTATTCCTTTAATTGAAGGAACACTTTTATGTTCTCAGGTCTATTTTAATCTTAAGTGCCGATTATGCATCATTCTCTCCTGTTAACAGACACTTCTGTAAGTGATCTGCACAGAGAGAAATATGATTCTTACATAAATACTGTACCATGAGAAATTATCTTATTACCTAATATGCCAAAAAGCTAATAAGATAAAGGAATGGTACGAGTCATTTTTGGACAATATTAAAACTTGATTTTAGCTCATGGAAATAAAATGTAATTTCCTTTTATTATTCTCTTCTTCAGGTAGAACAAAGGCAGTGAACGGTGTAGGGATATTAGACAGCTGTGTTCCATGAGCTCTCGTTAAGGCTGTGGAAGCGATCCAGGCAGGATGGCCTCAAATTAAGATTATAATGACTCTACCATTTAGGAAACACTCTCACTGTTAATGCTACCCTGTCAGGTATGACTTTCAAATTCACAGGTGAAAAGTATAAAAAAAAATTTTTTTTACTCAATTGTACAAATAGTTGCCTGTGTGTATTTGTATGTGTATGTCCTTTAAGGAACAAATGCATAGTGCCTATGGGAAGGAAGGGCAAAATATTTTCAGGGACTGGAAGATTCCTGAATTATCTATGGCAAAGGTGATTATGTGTTGCATTTTGACAAGGTTAAGGTATCTACACCTAAATACTGACTTACTATGGGCCTCACAAGACTTTGTGAGTTTCAAATATACTTTTACATAGTATTCTTTGGGGGTTAAATGTTTTATTTACAAATGAACAAATGGTGATTGTTCTTGATGAAAGAAATTTAAATAGAAACTTAGTTGATAAAAATTTCTGGCTGTTACCATCATTTGGTCAGTGTTTGATCTTCAGTAATAGGAGAAGTAAAGTTTTGGTGCTGGTGGCAATGATGTGGGATAGTTATAGACATAAGAACATTTTTTTTTTTTTTTGCACTTTTCCCTTCCTATCATATTGACAGAAATAACACTAAATAAATGCTATCATCCTTCTATGGCATGCAATTTTTCATTCAAACAAAATATAACATATGTATGACCTCAACAATATTTAATAATCTCTACATCTTGTGATTTGTTAGACCTTTTCCACCAACACCTACAGAAACTGTGTGTTTGCCTAGAGATTTAAGGTAACAGGCTTATACTCACAGTGAGATGAATTTTTTATTAGATTTTGGGTAGACTAATTGTGCTGATGTTGAGAAGTGTTTCCAAGAGAGAATATGTAGAATGTCCTTCAATGGATATTTTCAAGACCTATTTAAAGACTTACATCTATTTGTGAAACTTTCAGGATAGAGCTGTTGGAGGCTGGGAATGAACTATATGAACTGGTAAGATGCCACCAGCTTCCAATATTCCAAAATAGTGCAGCCATGCATTTAAAGTACACTAAAATGACGCCTTTAAGGTGCAGGGGTGGTGATGACTGGTAACTATCATAGGTTTGGCAGTAACATTTTCAGACTCTATAAACATGTTTGTGAAGCTGTGATATCCCTAGGGGAAACCATTCATTTGAATGCCCATTTTTCTCCAGAAAAGAAACACAGGGGCTTGTCTTTAAGATAAAACTAAAATGAGAACCTTTAAATTCAACGATGTGCGGTTCAGGCTGACTTACAGGTTTAATATTTAGCTTGGTTAATTAAATACCATTCTTTGCCTTGAATTTAATTATCCCAATCAATGTGGTAACTTAATATAATAATAATAAAGGGGTTAATGAGAAATGGAAGAGAATCTAACTATTCGTTCCTCTGGCTCAGTGGGGGCATCTATCTCTTCTTGAAGTGTCAGTTTATGGTGTTTTATAGGGTATGTATGAATTTTCAATTAGTGAGAAAGTGAAAATGAAAGACAGGAGATCATCAATGAGTGATTATATCAGGAAATCACTAAAAAGCTAATCTGTAAAGTTCAGGGCATATTTTAATGTGACTTCATGATAGTATAGGAAGGTTTTTTTCTCCCTTGGTTGAGCTTAAATCATGTTCTTAATACACTATATGAAAAAGTCCTTGTTTAGGGTTTCTATCCAAAGGTAAAAAGCCAAATATTTGCTACTTCTAAACAAAAATGAATGCTAAAATGTAAAGATGACTTTCTTGTTTAGTTGTCACTTTCAATACCAATGGTCTTCTTCCTTAATATTGCTCAAAAAACTCCCGCAATCTTAATGCTGAGGTGCTATGCAGCAGAATTAGAGGCGGATTCAAAGCTCAGCTGGGAGCTCGCTGGCTGCGTCAAGCTGCTAATCTCATTGAGCCTCAGTCTTGTCATCTGTGAAATGAGAAAGATGCGATCTATTCCTCTCGGATTGCTGAGAGGATAAAGTGAGGGAATGTAGAGGACACCGTACAGCGTGCCTGCTACATCACAGAAGCTTGGGAAATAGCGACTTCCTGTCTCCTGAACAACTCACAAGTATTTTTATAAATGCATAACAGACACTAATGTGTTATAATACCAAATGTAATGCCAAGTGTTCTGGCTCATCAGCCAGGGCAGCGCTCCTCAAACTTTAAAGTACCAGTGATGCACAGGGATCTGGTTAGGGAGAGATTGGCATTCAGCCTGAGATTTTGCATTTCCAACCAACTCCCAGCTGACGCTGACACTGCCAGCTGGGAACCACACTTTTAGTAGCATGGAACCAGAGCAATGACTTCTGAATCCCAAGGTGACTTTGAGACACTGACATAAATTGCAAAACAGAATTTTACTCTACTTTTTTCTTTTTTTCTGGTTTAGTGATAAAAATATTGGGGAAATCTGAAGATGCTACAGAAAAAGGTTTGAATGAACACATTTAAAAATTTGGGAAGCTCAAATCCATTCTACACACTTTCATTTATTGTCTGGACAGATAAAATACAAATAATTCAAACACAACAAGATTATGGAAAAAAAACATTTACAATACTTTCCCTCAGAAATCATCTAAACTAGTGAGATTAACATGAAGTCATTCATTATAACTAAAGTATACAACTGCCTGGTCCTAAGATTTTTTTTCCTTTTTTTTTCCCCCCAAGATTGAACACATTATAGAGAAGAGATTTTGGCATGCCTTTCCCACTAATGCTTAGCAAATGCATCAAAACTTTGCCAGCAAACTGCGTTCATTCATAGCAGGTGACGTAAAAAGATTTCCCTGAATGTTGAACGAGTGTTCTCTGAACTGAAATCTGGTGTTATTTCCAAAACCAAAAAGAGGAAAAAAAACAGAAAAAAAATTTAAAGGAGGAGTCTATGATGCAGCCTTGGTATTCATTATCTGTCTACCACTACGACGACTACTACAAAGTTTGCCTCTTCAGTGTGAAAACAACAGTCCTGTCTACATGCACTTAGTGGGTTCAGCATGGGAAAAAATGCACAAAATAAGCACAAGTTATAAATAACCATAACGTTTTATTACCATTAAGACTAAACTTGTATTGAAAAGATTTTATATAACAAGACAAGAAAAGCAATAGCAAATTTAACTATCAACTAGATTATGCATAGCGAGCAACTGTTTCTATTACCCAGGGAAGAGCATGAACCCTTGTATTTTTTTTTGTTTTGTTTTTGTTTTAAATATATAACCGTACAAAGCACAAACATACTAAAATGATCAGTGCACTGGACATGGGAGAGTGCTCCCTCAGTCATTTTGTTCCCTTAGCTCTGTTTTGTTTTCCCCAATCTGAATTACATTAAAATAAAGACCCAGTTGTTTTTATTTTTCTACTGTGCAGTAAGAAAAAATATTCACAACAAACATGACAATATATCAAACAATAGTTCTACACAAGTTACCTTGATACCTCTTTAACTGTCACTTAAATATCATAAGAAAACATTTTAAGACATATACAAACAAAACTAGCCAAGTGTTACAACTTATAATAAATTAACCCAAAGAAAAAATAACTTTATATATATATATTTATATTGTATATACACATACACACACAACAGAATGACACAATAATATGCTTCTTCCCACAGTTTAAGTAAACAAATAAGTAGTCTAGCCAATCTAGCTATATTTGATCTCGGCCATAGGCATCATCACATTGGCGATTAAATAAATAAGTGTTTCAAGCAACATAAACAGTGTTTCAAATGTACCGACACAGCCCAATTCTATCAGCATGGGCTACAAAGTGAATTTGAAAATTCCTTAATGAATTTAAAGCAAATGTATCTTTTGTTTTCCTCTCCTAAACACATTACATTTAACTATGATACTAAGATATGTAAATAATTTCGTAGCACCTACTGCTCAAACTAAGGAAGTTTTAGATCAAAAGGAAAATTAATCTTTTTAATTTTTGTTCTGCTGACATCCCATACTGATGACTTAAAGAAAAACTGTCTTTCAACTCATCTCCTTGCTTTTGGGTTTTGACTGTGGGGAACTGTGGTACCCTGGGTAGAACGAACACTCCTTTCCCCTAGTAATTAATAATTGTTTATTATTATTATTACATGCTATGAAAAGATATGAAGATCATCTGTTTATAGCCCATCCTTCAAAAAACAGTCTACGAATCCAGTTTAAAACACACATCTTGATCTCTAAAAAGTTACCAGTGCAGTATGAACGCGACAAAGTTGTCAATTTCCCCTAAATTAGCCAGTCAAAATATTTTTTTCTCAAATCCAGATTCTCTTGTAAAAATTCTTTATATTTTATAAAAATAGATTTTTCTTGAAACCCATTTTCAGCAAAGAGACCACCTCTTTGGCAACAATGTTAATGTTATTAAATTGTTAATGTCATCAGGTATCCCCCTTGCCCCATCCCCTAACAGAAGACTGTTTTAGTTCACATGATATAAAAGAAAAAAGGAAAAATAAAAAAATTTGCAAAAGTTTTTTTTTCATTTTTGCAATTTTTATTATTCCTCTTTAATTTGTGTGGGGGTTTTTACCAATCTGATTGGATCAACATTTTGACAAAAAAGAAAAATCTTTTTTTCCTTTCTTTGAATTCCATTACTTTGTAAAAATTGTTTTATTTTTATTATTTTTTTTTGTTTTTTGTTTTTCTTCTTCAAATGAGCGAATGGTCATCTTAAAAAGACCCACCTTCAAGGAAGGTAGTAAAGTTAGCTGGCTGGGTAAAAATCCCTGCACATTGCTATCTATGTATATTATATTCAACAACGACAGCTATGAAAGAACATTCAATGCATCAAAGGTATTTTTTTGTTTTTTTTTTTTCTTTTTTTCTAAGCATTATAAAATCCTTTCCTGGTACACCTCAGGATAATCCAATGTTTTAATACTTAGGCAACACTGGCTTATAAAGTCCATGGTTGAATATAAGCCTTGAAAAGTTTGTTTCTCTCTCTTTTGTGTATGTGTGTGTGTGTGCGCGCGCGTGTTTTGTTCGTATATATTTATATATATATTTTAATAAGTAAGAATAGGAAATTCAGGACTTGTGGGCTTTGTTGGTTTTAAAGGAAACTTGCAACACTCTGTCTCCCAGGCGGTACCCGTTGAGGCTGGCGATGGCCATGGCCGCCTCGTCATAGTTGGTCATGGTGACAAAGCCGAATCCCTTGCACTTGTTGGTATTGAAGTCACGGATGACCTTGACGTTGTTCACTGCTCCAAAGGGGCCAAATAGCTGCCAGAGGACACTCTCGTCGGAATCAGGGGACAGATTGTAGACAAAGATGCACCAGCCTGTTCCTGTGTGACCAGGGATGTTCATTCCCACAAGGCTTGTCATTCCATCAATGGTGATTGGGGAGAACCTGGGGGGACAAGCAGAAGGGGGGACTGGTCCAGACATCAGTCTGACCATGGATAACACACAGATGCACAGACACAGACACGGGGCAGAGGGCTGAGTGAGTGTTTGCTGGAGAGTCTTCAGGGTTTAAAAACCAAAATGTAAAAACTAATGTCTATGGCATTTCTTCTACAGGAATGGCTAGACTGGCTAAGGCATGTACATCCAGAGAGAAAGACCAAGGCCAATTCTTAAAAACCACCAGGGACTCCCAGGGTTCCCAGAGCAAGGCTCTACCATTATTCTATCATAGTATATGCTCACAGAGTATCCCACCCTCACCCTACCCCGTCCCATATAACCACAACACATAGAGAACTCTTGGGGCAAGGGGCTCTATTTCACTCATTCTGTGGCTCTATTCATTTATTCAGTGGAGCACATATGGCAATCTCACAGACATAGTGACACACAGAAAACATTCAATAAATATTTATTGATTGGATGAGTAAATAACTTTGGTTGATATAAATGCCTGGGAATTTTTATTTTTTAAGGCAGATTAGGGTATAGCCTTAGAAGTGCTCAAAGTCTACCATCTTTGCAGCCCCTTGACCTGAGGCTGTCAAAGATCTCTTGGTATTATTGAGGATGGAGATAAGTGAGAATGAATAGGAATGTCTTATTATTAAACAGATGGGTGGCTCATGTCTCATTTAGCATTTATTCAAAAGGGTTCCCAAAAAACCTGAGCAATAATAATAAATATGTCACTCCTTGATGCTATATTATCTGGAATTCGTTTCTAAGAATCACTAGAGCAAGACTTCAAGTGGTTTGTGCATTTATATATCCTGAACCACTATACACTAGAAAAACATCAAACTGTTATTTGCCCTATTATAACTGCTTTTGTATTAAGCTTAGAAACCTCAGTTTTCATGTAATCCTGAAAATAAAAATATGACCCTTCAGATTCTATTCACTGTCTGAAAAAATAAATCCACATGTGATTTGTGATGGATGTATCAGATGAAACAATTAGGTTACTAATGCCTACAGCAGAAATAATATTTGTTAATATTTTCTTTCATACTGAATTTATAGAGAGATTTTTGACCCTATACACTGACTAGCATCTTATCATTTGGTCAGGGTTTAATTTTGAGGAGATGAGAGGAGAAGAAACAAAAACTAGGGAAGAGCATGGGGTAAAGTGTGTGAGTTGGGGTTGTTTTTAAAAATAAGCAAATATTCTTGGAGAGTTGAAAATCCTATTAAGGAATAGTTCTGTATCTAACTAGAATTTAGATAATCAAATAGCTGCTGAAGATATGCTAGACATAACAACTCAGTAGACATTATTTTTTGCTATTATTCACTAAGTCTTCCCTCTTGCTTAAAAACAAGACGAAACTAAAAAACATCATGGCACATATATTAGAAGGGACAATCCAAGTTTAATTGGTATCTGTGTTATTTTTGAAGACTGTCTTTTCAACCTTCTCTCCTCCAACCAGGTGAATTGACCCTTTCAGTTTATATGTAGAGAATGGCTAAGTATTTATTATAAGGCCAAAATCAAGGCCAGCAAAAAGGTTGCAAGTAGAGCCTCTACTCTAGTTGGTAACGGCTACCTGGAGCACTTTAGCAAGAAGGATTCTAGATCCAAATCTCGTTTCAATAGGAAAAGAGAATGCTGTTATCAATTAGTGATGTCTACTCTGGGTGGGGCAGGGGAGGAGGTGTCAGCACGGATGCCACAGCTGTACCTTCCCTGGTCTCAACTAGGTTATAAGCATCACTCTTTTCATAACATTTGGTGCTACTTCACTAAAGTCAGAGAGGAGCAAAGGGATGGGACAGAGCTAGAAAAGATGTAAAATGCCTGGGAACAGGCAAGCAGTGTGCTAGACATGTGGAGATAATTCACAGTTATCCTTGTTTGATGCTGGGATTGAGATTCAAAGGCTGGCAGTCTGATCGTGAAGCCTGCAGTCAAGTTACTTGCACTACTGTGTGCCAGTTCCCAGAGTCAGGGTACTTACCATGCATGGCCAAGTGGTGAAAGAACTGCCTGGTACAGGGAGTGTGATGTGGACTATTAAAGATCACATCTCTTTCCCTTGACTATAGGAAGGGGAATTAAAGTGTGCAGCTCTACTGAGCAAGATGATGAAGACGCTACATCCCTAGCAGTGCAGTGGAGCTTATCAAAAGCACATATGGGAATCTCATGGACACAGTGACATAACACACCTAACTTCCCAAGATTCAGATTTCAGACTCGGTCTGGAATACTCTTGTGACTGCATTCAGAGAGCCCCAAAAGCCTTGACTCTGTTTCAGCCCCCAAGCCCCCACAAAAGGCTTTCAATGAAAAGTAACAGCAAGTTTAAAACACACATACATATATAACCAAAGGAGGATTTATAATTACTGTTAAAACCTGTAACAAAAGAAACCCCTGGTTGAGGTGCACACAGATACACTTCATTCTCAGGATGTGCTCTGAAATGCACACTGAGGTGGGGGCAGGAGTTAGACTGCCATCCATGCACTTATTTATGCTGTGGCTAGACCTGGTAGTCCAAAATCTAATTTTTCTACTGAAAATCATAAGATTGTCAACTATGATTAGCAAAATGTTCTAATTCCGATTTGCTGGAACCTGCCCTCCTAACTGAATCTTGGCATTGCTAATGCAAAACAGTTGCTTTGCAAGTTTGCAAAACCAGCCAGCAAAGAGTCAAGGCCTTCCCCCTTGGGGGAGCCATTCAAAAGATTGGATTGTCAAGGGCTTGGTAGCTGTGGCACCTGAACCATAGGAGAAGCCCACCTGCAAATAAAAGAAAAAGTGAAACACACAAATACATTTTGTGTGCCCTAAAAGAAACAAAATCAACTGAGGTCTGAAATTAAAATTAAGAATTTGACATGCTGGTGGAAGAAAAAGGAAGGATTCATTTTTTTTTAAAGTAAAGTTAGTGAATTAAAAAAAAAATTCTAGCCCCAGTCTGTGCCAACACGGACATCTGGCAATCTGTGGAGTTTTAATTACCTCTTTACGCCATAGGCCATATTAAGCAAATTGTCCAGCCTGCAAAGAGAAGGAGGGTCTCTGGGTTAATGCCTCACAGATGGCAAGATCGCTCAATGGAACTATTAATAAGAATGCTCCATTTTCAAAGAAGAAAAGCTCAACAACTTTCCCCACTGCTTAGGAGTCTATCCACCGGTAGTTTCCCCTTTTCTGCCTCCAACTGCAAGTAATTCATGTTCAGGTCAATGCTGGAGTTAAAAGCAAGTGTCTAATGAATCTTCTTTTCTTTCAAGGTCTGAATTAATCCCACTACCCCCACCTCTCAGAACATTTGTGTGGATTTTGTTTTATATTATGCGTGAAATTGTTAAAAGGGGAGGCTTCTTAAATTGTTCACCTTTTACTATAATTAAACTTATGAATAAAGGTCTCTATTCCAGATTAATAATACATGTGCACACAATAAGCACCAGAACGGATCTTTTCTGTTAGCCTAGCTACATTAACTAAATCTTCTTACCACACACATTTTTGGGAGGCTGGGGGAGTTTTGGGGTTAAGATTTTAAAAATTAGCTTACTATTTACCGCCCGATAGCACCTCCCAGCAAACCGCCATTATGTTATAATCTTCCTCATGTTCAGCACCTTACTTGGGGACAAGCTATTCACACCATGGGGCAGGAGTAACCATAGTTTCCACCATTAGAAGCCTGCTGGAGTGGCTTTTTACATAAATACTGCATGTGCTCTCACACAAAATAAAAATTAGATGACTTGCACTCTTCATGAAATCATTAACCATTTCAAATTCACAGGACATGGAAGGACACTAAAGAGGCTGATCTTTCTGCTCTCTGTGGGCTGATGGACCATACTACCCTAGACAGAAGTACCTACTATCTTCCTATGTGAAGTTTGACAAGGAGAAAAATCCTTTCATTGAAGGCAAGTTTGGACATGGGTGGAATAAAATAATTATTGAGAATTTATTATGGGCAGGTAAAAAATATTCTTATCTCTTGCACAATAGAGGCCCATCAAGGTCATATTGGCTTCATGGAGAGAAACCTGTCTTTCAGAAAGGTCTCAGGAGAAGAAGGAAAATGCCCCACTGTGCCAGGAGCTTACTGTAGTTTAGGTGCCTGAAGCTTGGACAAAACCTTCCTCCTTGTTTTCCCAGAGTCTGGCTTAACAGAGTCAAGTTAACACTAAAGAGACTCCCCTTTCCCCGAACCCAACAGTGTTACCTGCTGAGGGAGAGGACAGGAAAATCCACTCCCTCTGGCAAGGATCTGCCTCCTAGTCTAGTCTTTGATTTTATTAAAAGCCACTGTCCAGCCTTAAGTCTAGTTTGCTGAATCTGGTCACTTATCTGTGATTAACTCTTGTTGAAATGGAATCTTCTTGTTTGGTTAAATGCAGTAATTTTGTTTCTACCACACAGTCAAGTGGTAAGCTGAAAAGGGGGTTAGAAAAGCACTTGGTCCAATAGTTTCATTTTATAGGAGTGGAAACTGGGGCTCATGGGGAGTTTTGCACAGTGATTCCTAGGGGCCGAGGCTCTTACCCTTGCCCCATCCTTCAAAACCATGCACTTCTCTAGGCCCTTGCCCAGCTCTGAATCTCTGTATCAGGGCTCCTTCTTCTGTCGGCATGCCTACCTGAACCTCTGAGCCTGGTGGTGAAGTGGGCCGGGGTAGCGCCGGTTGGGGGACTGGTAGAGTTGGGAGAGCAGGGCCTGGCTGGACTTCTGGCTGGGATTGTTGGCAAACTTCACAGTAATCGGTTCCGTAGCACCGCTGGGCTTCTGGCCATTCAGCCCTTTGATGGCTTCTTCTGCTTCGATCCTCTTATCAAAGCGAATGAATCCCACCCCTCTAGATACTCCTAGAGAAAGAGAAAGAGCTTTTGTAAAAGAGTGAACAAACCAAAACGCTAAACATCTCTAGGAAGAGATGGACTGGGCCCCATGCACACCGTGTGGGGAGGCAGCCCACCTGTGGGGTCGGGCCTGAGCCTAGCTTCCTGAATCTCTCTCACCTATCAATAATACATCTACCTGCATTTCTGCCACTACGGCTTTAGACAGATGCCTCCCAACAACAGAACACAGGGATCTCTTGCATCTGTCCCCTCTAGCTCTCCACTACTGCCTTGCTCAGGTCTCATCTCCCATAAGTTACTATAACTGATCATCCACTGTCTTGTTTCTAGTCCTGCATGTGTCCTCTACACCTAGCAAGTAAGTAATCTATTTGAAAAGCAAACTCTGACCACACCACACTTTTAAAAAACATCTTCTATACCTCTTTTGTAACTTTTGAAATTTTTACCTAGTGCATGGTACCTATTCTTCACTGCCCCCCATTCCAAACAGAATAACAAACAAAACCCATAAAATCCCCTTCCATGGCTTCCTGCTGCATACAGATAAAGTCCTGACCTCTTGGCACAGCATTCAATGTCCCTGGCAATCTGGTCCCAAATATCCTATTGAGCCTCACACAGCCACTCTGATCTGCCTAACACTCCTTGAATAAGTTGTGTTCTTCCTCCATTCCAAGCCTTGGGATATATATGATGTCTTCTCTACCTAGAATGTCCTATCCCTCTTTTTTGCCAGGTAGCTTCAAATCACCCTCCTAAACCCCATTCAAACACTGCCTCTTCAATGGAGCCTTCCCAACAATTCCCACCAGCCATAGCACACCTCCTGAGCTCTCACGGCAGGGTGGTGGGGGAGATTTGACAGCCCCCAGTAGATACTTGTCACACCAGAGTCCTGTAAGGGTGGGGACCGTGCCTCATCCTTTGTCTCTGGCATCACTCTGCACAGTGTGTGGGGCAGAGCCAACTTCAGTGAAGATTTGTTTCATGTGAAATGGGGCAGTTTGAGGTTCCTGCTCACTTGACAATGCTATGAATTGGAGCTACAGCTATATATACAGGTTCTTTACACATACTAAAGTAATGCTACTTGGTTGAGGGCTGAAAGAGACTTTGAAGGTCATATAGTCCCACTCTCAACCTGATGCCTGAATCCTCTTTATAATCCTGCCAAGTTGTTTAGCTGCTGCTCAAACAAATAATCCGTGATGGAGAACTCTTACTTCCCACAATGGCCCATTTTATATTTGGGCAGAATAAGAAGTCTTTATCCCAAGTGGAACATCCATCTATTCATGACCCATGTCCTCTGCCTTAAGCAACCATTAGCCTTCTGTTCTTATAGGTAACAGGGCATGCTGGCTGGTGATATCGGGATACAAGGAAGAAATTACAAAGAAACACTTAACCTGTGACTTGATCAACCAGGATTCGTGAGGTGATGATACGGCCGTATTGCGAGAAAAGCTGCTCCAGTTCCTTCTGGGTCATGGTTTTGGGAAGGCCGCTAACATAGAGGTTAGCATCCCTGATTGAGGCAGAGCTTGGACGGGCATATGAGACCTAGGAAAGGCAAGAGGAGCTAAATCCATTATAGGTAATCACCTTCAGAGTAGAGACTGAGTCGACAAGCAAGATGACAGTCCCTCATCTATGGTCACAACTCATGGTGTTGGTTTAAATCACTCAGTAGTTCAGATTTTTAGCTACTCTTGTAATAGTAATGAGAACCAGGAGAACAGCAATAGAGGAACAAGAGGAGAGTTGATGATAACTTAAAACAAATGCACAGATAAGGGTCTCTAAGTGCAGAACAAAATAGCTACTGTATGGCAGCTGTTAAATGCAGAGCTACCCACGCATGGAGTTCTGAAGATTTACCTCCTGGATGTGGGTGTATAGATGATTTACTGTATCCAACACATAATAATCTTTGAATAAACCAAAAAACCCCTGTGAAATTCTGCTCTGCACATTTTTCCCCTTGCCACCCTCCCTACCCCCATCCCCTTCTTCTTGAATACATAAAAGCGATCAGGTTCTCTGCAAGATTTTTTATGTCCCATCCTTTGTGTTGCTCCAATCTGTTCCCCCGAGGTCTGCTCTCACTGAATGACAAAGTGCTGGTGAAACAGGGCTGAATGAACATCTGCTTGCGAAACTGGATATGTGACCTTGTCGTCACATCTGCAAGGACCAGTTGCCTCTAACTTTGAGGCAGGGCAGATAAAACCACAACAAACAAAACGGGGGCACGGTAGAAAAGAGGGAGGGAAGGGGCAGTGAGAGAGAGAAGAGAGCCTCACCGATGGTTATAATAAGTTCGACTTTGTAAATTTGTCCTCCCAGATCGCTCAACTGCTTTTTTTCCCCCAAAAAGCTAACACAGAAGTGTAAACAGATCTGAAATTCCATCTGCAAGAAGCCAAATCTGTAGCAGTACACATAAGCAAAGCAAACCCCAGCAGTCATTAATTTTAGACTTTCATTTACTTATTTATTTATTTTTTAAGAAAACAACATCAGACATTTGAAATATAATTTACAGCTAGTCTAACAAAAGCACTTTCCTGCTAAAGCTATTTCTGGGGTGGTTATGGCTCAGAATAGATGATGAAAACAGTCATTTCAGAGCACATCTGACAACATTGGACAGGAAGGGACCTATAATGCCTTAGCATTTTTCATTTGTTCCATATAACCAATTCACAAGACCTATTAAGATTGTAGGGGTGAGAGTGTGTGTGTGTGTCTATGTGTGCATGTATACAGAGTATGTGTGACAAAGAATTGCATGTGTTATGCTGGATCTTTGACATTAAGAACTAAATCTCCAGTAGCAAAGTGGACCTGCTTCTGAGACCTTCAGGGGAGAGACTGGATCTAGCAAAGAGGATGAAGCATAAGCAGACCCCTCATCCATGGCACTCTCTCCCTGTCTATAGCAGAGATGCCAGGTCCCTTTATGGGTTCCAAACCTAAAAATAGATGTTGACTCAACAGATAAAATGATGTGAGTGACTAATCTGCCTCTCTGGCCTCCTCCTGCTGATGGAGCGAGGCAGCTGCCTGCAGTGTCTACATCTTCTAGAGACTCATGAGTGACCCAGGAGGCTCCTTCCCAGAAGTTGGTTGAGCGGCATAGGGGCCTTTACATGAAGGGCTCCTATGTGAGCATTTGGGGCTTGGGGCCAAAGGACCAAGAATCCCATATGACTGTGCAGACAGTGCTTCACTCCACACAAGGTTCTCCTACTCCTGTGCTTTAAGGGACAGAGGCTTTCATGATATAACTTAGCAGAACTATTTTTTTGGGCAGAAGGAAGGAGTGCTAGGGAGAAGGAAATAAAACATTATAGTGATGTGCCCTTGGTAATGAGGGTCACCTTTGTCTCACCCTTGCCAATTACTGACAAATTAATTATCTGAATGACATCTTTGCTCCCCCAAAACACAACCTCCCACATCTATGCCTTTGCTCATGGGGAAATTTTTTCCACCTACTTCCCCACATCCAAATTCTAGTCCTCGTCAGGGCTCTGCTCAAATGACATCTTCTCTAGACAGCTTTCTCTGATCTCACCTCCTCCCAAAAGTCTCCCCAGCGGTGGTCTCAATGAACCATGGTACTTAACCCATTCTGACCTTAATTCACCACTTCTTCACCTAGTCTGATGGTCTCTTTAGGTCATGGGGTGGAGGTGTGTGTGTCTTATTCATCTCTGTGGCTCTAGCTCCCAGCATAGAGCCTGATAGTCTCAGGGTGCTCAACATCTACTGAAAAAAAAATGAATGAACACTCACAGCTCATGACGAATGACACTGACATTACTGGCTCTTCGGGCTTAACTGTCATTTTGGTCCTCTACTAAGGTGGATCACTGAGAGTCAAGCACCTAGAATCTCACCTGTATTTTCCTGCCAAGCTAAGAGCTAAGGGAAAGATTTCCCGTTTTCCAGTATTTGAGGTTGGAAGAACTGAAAGAAGACTGTTCTAGGACTACACATCACTTAGAGGCCTTCTCTCAGCAAACATTTCCTGAGGCTCTACCGTGAGCCAGGCGCAGTGCTGTGTTCTGGGGATACAGTAAGAACAAGGCCTGGTCTCTTGCTCTAAAGGACCTCCAGGTCCAAAGAGGACAACAGAGAGCACACGGGGGGCACTCTATAAATAGTTGAATGGAAGAATGGATGGGTAAACATACAGACTGATTATACAATGCCACAAAATGTGCGCTATGCCAGGGCTATGTATGGAGTGTAGCTGAAATGCGGAGGAGGGAGAGACTGATGGAAGGTTAAAAGGGCCAGGAAGAAGACGGAGCTGAGGTTAGACTGATGGTGGTGAGGTCAGGAAGTGGTAGCTTGATAATAGCTGTCCTCTGTTGTGGGGACAAATAGGGTGATGAAGGCCGAGGGCTTAGTGCAGTGCAGCCCTAATGGCACCCAGTTAAATGCACTATGGGCAGTAATGACCTTGATTCGCATTAGTTCTGGGCAGCTAGAGCTAGGGTACAGAGGGAGCAGGCTGGGGACAGACCCTGCCAGGGAAGAGGAGCTGGCACTGAAAAGTCAGTGACACAACCTAAACCATTTCCCCAAAACATGATTCTGACAATCCCATCCAGGAAAATTATGATCACAGATCCCCAGAGATGACCCCAAATCCCAAAGGTGAACACCACCTCGATCATTCTCTACTAAGCTAATTCCCACTTAGTTTTTCTCCTTCGTTTGGAAACTTAAGTCTATTGTTCCCTTAGCCCCCTGTCCACAAAACCTTTATGATTTGGAGTAGACAAAAATGACAGAAAAGAATCTTTTCACATTCAATATCCAAATGCTCGCCCCAGGGTCTAAAACTTTCAAGTTTCTTCATACATTTATCAAATTCTAACTGAAAGACTACAGGTGTCAGGCCCTTTGTTAGGCTGAAACATGTCTAAAAAATTGCCAACTTACAGACCCTGCAGAGGGTCACGCATTGCTGGCACATTAATCCCCCTGAGCTAGTGGCCTAGAGCCCAGGGCTTCCAACACTGGAGCCAGTGCCCTAGGGAAGCCCCTGGCCTCAGACGGTTGGGATCCTGCTCACTTCATTCACCCAGAATCTCAGAAGATAAAACTGGAATTTTTAGGCCTCAATGTGGAGCTCAGAGAAAGCTGGGTGTGAAAAGGCCACTCCTCTCTCTGGGTAAGGGTGTCCCAAAGGTGAGTGACCATGAATGGCTGACTTTACAGATGACCTCCATAGAAGATCTGCAGTCCCTCCAAACTCCCCAGCTCTCCCCATCCCTGCTGAGCACAGTTCCCCACCCCCACAAGAATGACACTTACTATGGCATCACACTTATGATCCCTGACTGAGGGTCAGCTCTCGTACTCACCAGCTGTGTGACCTTGGGCGAGTAATTTGATCTTGATAAGTCTCAATTTCTTTACTGATAAAAGGGGGATGATTCTCCTTTGATGGGTTATTGTAAAGAACTGAGATAATATATTTAATGTGTCTGGCACATAGCTAGAACTTAGTAGATACTTATTAAATATTATTGTGTAATGAGTCATACAGGCTTTTGTGGGCCAGCTGGAAATCTAGTCCCCACTAGGACATACCTTCCAGTCTTATCAAGCAAACATGTGGAACACTACCAGTGAGTGCCTGTAGAGGCACTGTCCTCATGCTTCCCTGGTGGGGTCTGGACCATCTTTTACCACTTCACTGCCATGAATTTCTTCTAGCATATTCCCACAGATCCCACTGTCCACACAGTACTTTTCCACTTTCCAAAGTGACTTCCCAATGCTGCTCTCTGTGATCCTCACCAAGGTGCATAAGGCAGGCATTGTTAGCCACCACAGATGGCGCAGCCGGACTAGGGCTGGGGGCTGCCTCTTCCCACAGCACCCATAGCTCCCTGTATCTGTTCATAGCCAGAACTTGGCCCAGGCAGGGTGGGAGAAACAGGGTGAGCTTGGGAAAAATGTTTCTTGAGTCATCCAGCAATACCTCCCCTCTTGTCTGGCCTGCCATAACACAGAAAATGGAGAGGACATGGAAAACATGACAAAGGCATGACCTCGGGTGCAATTAGGAGGATAAAATGAGAGGAAACGGCATCCATCCTTCCCAGCCCTGGAAAGGGGCTCCTTGAGGGGAACACTGGAGCTAGAAGAGGAGAGAGTTCATTCATCCCTGCCCTTCCTGAACATCTACTGATGCCTGGTGCTGGGACGGGTACAGGGGGTGTCTCTGCTCCAAGGACTTCATAGCCTGGTGAGGTCCAAGCCAATGAAGAGTGCAGCATGGAGGGCTGTCCCTGCCAGGAGGATACTCATTTCCCACTCCCGGTGTTTCCTTCCGTGCAGAGGAGCCTCCTGGGATAGGAGCGAAGGCCTTTTCCTACCCCTTCACTCACTCTTCTCCAGGGGAGGTGGAGTGATTGCTCTAAGTGGAGGTTTTAATAAAACAAATGGGCACGTGAGGCTCAGACACTGCCTGTGTCCCTGCTCTGGGGAGCCAGATGCCAGCCAGAAGCACCCATTCTGTTCCAGGCTCTAAG